CCCCAAAACCCCAAAACCCCAAAACCCCAAAACCCCGTCATCAATATAAAAATTGAAAATGCTTTGAACCTTTTTCTAATAAAAGTAACAGCACTATAGCAATAAGTTTTTTATATTTTTATTCGATCGATAAATAATTTGAGGTTGTGATGTTCAACAATCAACTTTTGCTTCTTGTAAACTATAGGAAATGTTAGGATTTTGTTGGAAAACTCTAGAAAATTGAATCTTCATCAAGTAAACTTGGGAAGATATAACACTAAAAGAATATTATAAGAATCTTCTTGAAATGCATAATGAAAGATTATAAGTGAAGGTAATTCAAAATAATAAAGGTACTATTATCCGATTGATAATTATGGAAAATATGTCTTTAGAAAGTAGACATTACACAATTTGATTCTCAATTTTAATCCAAATCCATCATTTGAAAAGTACCGATTCAGAAGTTTCCTATCCTATTTTTATCAATCAAGCATAATACTGTTCTTATTTCCCCTAACCCTCTACTCTTTACCAACATCCATAACCCCCAAGACAAAACAAGCTTCCCATACATCATAAAAACTAAAAATTACCTACCTCAAAACCCCTCCTCAAGCGCCCAAAATTCAAAGTTCCCTTCAGCTTCAGTCTGAACCTAAGGCAAGTAAACCTCTTGGCTTATGAAGAAACAGAAGAGCTAGGCCTGAAGATGGGCTGAAGAGAAGGAATATGGTGGAAGAGGAGGAATTAAACTAGATTTTTATAATGTCGTCTTCATCTCAGCGATCAAAGGATGTGTAATTTGGCATTGGTCTGAATGGGGGGAGTTGAGAGCGTAACTCTGAGATAAGATTTTGGCTTTCTATGTCGTTTATGTGCAACCTCAGATTATAGACATCATCTTTGTTCTTGCTTATCTTTGGTCAGACAGAAAGCTCCATTTGGGGTATCTTTTTCTGGTCTCTTATTCTTTTAAGAAATACTTCCTCAAATCATTGTTTTGGAGTTTTATTAGGATGGATCTCATATTTCTCTAACCCTCCCTTTTCTTTCTTTTCTACAAGTTCTATAAATCTTTTTAGGATAGTTTTGCAAACTTCAAGAGAGTTAGGTTTTGTGTCAAAGCTTGATCCAAGTCTTTTTATAGCTTTGTTGAGATATACATGCAATCAGATAAGTGAGAATCTTTTGAATGCAATAACCTTGGTAGGAGAAAACCAATCCTCATATGAAACTATCATTTGATATTTTGGTATTCCTCTTAACTTGTTTTCTAGGATTTTTAGATCTTCCATATATAGAATATCCTCACCGTTCAATTCTTTAATAACATTCTTTAAATCAGCCAATCTATACTTCAGAATCCATTTTTAGTATAGGCATATTTATTAAGTAAATCTCCCTTAGTCCAATTCTTTTGGACAGGTGTAAGCTTCTTCTCTTGTATTTTCTTCTCTTGTATTGTCTTCTCTTGTATTGTCTTCTCTTGTATTGTCTTCTCTTGTATTGTCTTCTCTTGTATTACCTTCTCTTGTTCTTCCTTCTCTTGCTTTTCCCTCTTTTGTTCTGTCATTTCTTGTTCTTTCTTTCCTTGCTCTTTTTCATCTTGCTCCTTCTTTTCTGATACACTTATCTCCTTTTCCTTTTCCTGCTCCTCCACTTTCACCTCCTTTTCCTCCTTCTCTATCACATTACTCTCCCACATCCTCACTTGCTGACTATGGACACTCTCCTTATTCTCGCTATCACCATCATCACTTCTATTCAAATTCCTCCTGTCAAGTTCATTTTTTATTTCTTCAGACTCTCTTATCGCCCTATTTATTTCCTCCCTCTTCCTTTGATTCTCTATGGTCTTGATCTCCTCCATAATACTTCTTCTGTGGAGGTCTCTCTTCTTCATCTTGGCAAGCTCGACTCCATACTTCTCAAGGATCACTTTCATGAAGGCGAGGGGGTTCTTCAGGAATCGTTCTGTGTATTCAAGGCAGAAGACTCCTCAGTCGTAGGAGTTGTACTGTTGAGGAGCTTTAACGAAGATTATGGGGATTTGGGCGGTGAGAGAGGGGATTGAAGCGGGTGTGATTGAAGGATCGACGTCGGGGATTACTGATAGGCCTCTGTTGAGCAGTTCTTGAGTGATGTATTGGGTGATGAAGTGTTTTTTGTCACCGGTTTTGGATTCACAGCTGTTTTTGTATATGAAGGAATCGAATTTGAGGATCAATGTGCGTTTTGTCTCTGATTTTTCCTTTTTGAATATGGCTGCGGGATAGGTGACAATGTACATGTACCAATGGCTGTTTTTGTTCACTGTAAATATCCAGAAATCATTTTTGAATAGCTCTACTCGTCTACCCCAGTTCTTAACATTGTTATAATTAATGGGGCCTCCTGAGTCTTTTTCAATATTCTCAACTACCTTCTCAAAGAAGAATGAATCGAAGACATGAACGTTATCCTTAGTCATGATTTTTCTTATTAAATCGTAATAGGAAAGAATAATCAGATCGTTAAGATATTTTTCAGGCAGGAGTGAATCTAGATCCTTTTTCTCGATATTCCAAAGATTTAACCTCTTCTTCTTAATTTTTTGCCTTGATGATGGCTCGGGCAATGCATTTAGTAAATCTGTAAATGCTTTGAAATTGAAATCTTTTTCAACTTCGGGAGTCGACCTATCATCCAAAGGAGGTCTCTTCGACTTTTTGCGCTTTGACTTTTGTTCATTTTTTACTTTGGTAACTTTTCTTGTAATCTTGCTTTTTTCTCCTTTTTTTAATGATTTATTTCCTCTTGTGCTTCTTGAACTATGTGCTCTCACTTTTGATTTTTTAGGATTAGGAGTAATTTTTCCCTTATTCAACCTATCTATGCTTTGATTAGGATACGATTTTCTTTTATTCTCACCAGTAGAAGTTTCAAGCTTCCCAAAATCCTTCCTTTTCACCGGAGTAACACTTTTTCCTATCTCTCTCATCTCCTGATCCTCTCTCCCTCCTTCTCTCCTCTCCTTCTCCAACCCTGCTACCCCACTTTCCACCTGAGGCATCTCCTCATCCTCCTCCATCCCCTGCTTAATCCTCTCCAACCCCTTCTTCATCAACTCCTTAAAATCCCTCCCTCCACTATACCTCCTTCACTCCTTCTCTATCATATAATGCTTCAATACCTCCCTTGTCTTCCACTTATTCTCCACCTCCTCCAGTACTTCCTTCACCACATCTGCCAAGTCCTCCTTGATCAAGGTGGTTTCCCACCTTGTCAGGTGAGAACTGACCATGGTGGAGGCCTTGGGCCTGCAGGAGGGGGCAGTGGCTGGTGGAGTAGGGGGGAGGGGATTTGAAGGGGGTGGCTGGGAATTGGAAGCAGTGGGGATAGGGACTTTGAGAGTGGGGGGTTGGGTGCTGAAGCCTTGGCTTTTGTAAGGGCGAGGGTGAGTGGAGGGGTTTTGGAGGTGGGTTTTAGGGATTTTGAGGAAGGGGTTAGGGAGAGGTGGGATTGGGATTGGGGATCTTTTGGAAAAGTGGAAGGGGCTTTTAGGGATTGGGTTGGGCTTTATTGGGAGGGTAGAGAGGGGGATTTTTTTGGTACAGTAATCGTAAAGTGCTTTTTTGTCGGCTTTGAGATCGGCATCTCATAGTTTTAGTATTTCTGGCTTTTTTTTGTATCACATTGTGTTTTTGAGTTTTAGGCTGATTTTGGATCTCTTTCTTCTTTTGGATTTCAAACTTCATTTGAACTTCTCGTTGTGTTTCTTCTTTTTCTTTGTCATTCAAATGCATTTCAGGTTTTAATTGGGGTGTTAACTGTACCTTCTCTTGCTGAATCTCAGGTTTCTTCTCATCCTTTCTCTCAATCTCAGATTGTATTTCTACTTTCCCTGAAATTTTCTTTACAATCTCAGATGAAACAGTATCCTCATGGGACTTGGAATCCTCTAGTACCTTATGTTCAGATTTCTCAATCTTCTGTTTGTTCTGCTCACTATCATCCCAATCAATGAGATCTGCCTTCAAAATGGTTATATTAAATGCATCTTTGTCTATTTTCTTACTTTTGTGATGAGCTCCTGGTTCATTCTGCTCTTGTTCTTGTTCCTGCTTCTTCTTTTGTTTCTTAACTCTTTTCTTCCTGTTTTCTTCATTTATCTGTCTCTTTCTACTTCTAGTTTGTCTTTGGAGGGATGAGGCCCCATGTTCGTAATCTGACCTGCTTGATCTTGCAGTAGCTAACCTAGACTCTTTATGAGACATTGAATTTTCATAACTTGTTTCTGGATTGTATTCGCTTCCCCCAGAATCATCTTTAGAAGCCTTAGACTGAGTTTCTTTCTTCTTGAGCTTTTTTAAGTGTTCTGAACTTGCTGAGTTTTTACCGATAAATTTCCTCTTTGTAACTCTACTTGAATCAGGAGCTTTGCCACGATCTTTTACATTTCTCTTCTTGAGTGTTTTCTTGGTCTGATTATTCCTAGGTTTCACTCTTCACTTGCGGCTTTTGTTAGAAATTGGAGAATTACTTCCTATGAGCAACTCCTTCTTACTATCAGTTGAAAGTTTTCTATGATCTTTATCTTTCTCTTGATCTTCAGATCTAGTTTTCACCATTTTAGTCTTTTTTACTAAAATTCCATCATCCCCATCTCCTTAGGGGTTTTGGGGTTTTGGGGTTTTGGGG